AAATGGGCGTGGCACGCTCCTGCACATACATGCATATGCATCCCATTCTCCCGCGAGCATGCCATGCCCACCCATGCATGTGTGCCACATCCACCTGCAAGTGCACCATATCCATCCATGAACATGCCATGCCCACCCACGAGTGTGGAGGGTGCTCCCCACACACCCCGAATGGACCCTGCCCCCCCCACTAGTCCATAATTCCAAAAAGGTTGGGGACCACTAGCCTAGGCCATCTTGATGTAGAGCCATAATTAGTTTTTTCAAGTCCTCAGATAGTTCATTACTATGAGGTGTCATGTGGAACTTCCAGTGACCAGTCTGATAGAGAGAGAGTGATAAAACCTGCTCCCCCTTCACACCTGAGACTTGTGACACCAACAAGTCTCATGACACCAGGGAGGGAAAATGGTTTCTTGGGCCCAATTTGGACATTGTCACTTAGAGGTGTCCTCACTTTTGTTGCCAGAGGTTTTGACAATGGCTGTGTGTTGCATTATTTTGAGGGGACAGCACATTTACACTGTTACAAGCTGTATACTCACTGCTTTACATTACGGTAGAGATTTCATTATACCAACCCAGTTCTTCCATTTTTTTGCTATAATCAAGCAGATATTATCATATTTATAACCATCTCTCTTTTTTAATTCTTTACATCATGATTATCTATTAACAATAATAATGCTATTCTTAATGATGCTTCGATGTTGACTTCAAATATTTCTCTAATTTCTTTAAAAACATCCCTTCAAATCCTTTGTACTACTTTACAGTCCCATCATAAGTGCAGATATGTACCCAATTCTTTATTGCATCTCGAGCACATCTTGGAATATTTAGAATCTATTTTATTTAATTCTATCAGTGTTAAATACCATCTCTATATTGTTTTATAACTATTTTCTTTTATTCTGACATGTCTTTAAAAACCCTTCTATTCAATACATTTTCAATTCCTCTTTATTTTTCCTAAATCTGCCTCCAGTATTAAACCCTGCTAAGTGATCTCACTCTTCATCCAATATTCTAAAAATATTACCAATTCTCCCTTCCTCCTTTTTCCATTCATCTCATTCTCCATATTCTTTATATCTTCAAATTTGTCAGTTGCCTATCCTTTATTGTTTTTCTCCTTCTTTCAACCATTGTTCCAGTTGTATCAAATTTAACCAAATTAAATTTTCTTCTGCAAAAATACCTCTTAATTCATCCTTATTTTTGAGGGGAAATAACTGAGACACTGAGACAATAGTTAAGTAGAAATTTTTACCTAATTCTCTTAGGAAAAAGTGAATGCTGAGAAAACAATAAAACTACTAAAGCTACATAACAAAATATACCAAACAGTAAAAATAAACAGGGCGGCAGCAGCTCAAGCAATGCCCACAAACTTAGTCAGCACCAGTGAAGTGTGGGTTTGAGAGAGAGTAAGAGGCAAAGCGTTATAGAGCCTCACTGAATATAGGGACAGGTGAGATCTTTAAGCACATTAACCCATAATGCCTAGAATGTTGGATCTTGCCATATCCCAACACCCCTTCTCAAAATCTAACATGAATAATCAATAACTTATGATCAATTCAGATGGTATTTACATCAAGCATATTTAACATTTCATAAAGATATGAAAATTTCTCTTATACAGATTGATATTCTTCTTGCATGGCTTCTATCCATTTTTCTCTCTCTGAAATAGGTAATTTGCTGATCACTTTCTAGTTTGCTAGTTCCTTTATTGTGTGCAGGTTTTCACAGAATCCATATCTTTCTGGAGGTTTGCTTTCATTAATTCTGTCTGATTGTCTTACAGAGGTTGTTGTTTCTGTTTCCCTTGGTCCAGTTTCTGCTTCCCCTTCTGTTCTGATAACATCTTCAGAAGATGGACCTGCCGGTTGACCGGTGGTCTCTGCAGGTAACCAATCAACCAATTTTTGTGAAATGGTCTCTGTATTCTGTAGATCAGTTGCCACTATAGATTCATCTATCTGTTGCTTTATATTTCTTTCATCTACATACATATTACAATATTTAATTTCAAAAGTCTCAGGGTTCAAAATTCTGTACCCTTTCCCTCCTTCTTTTGGGGACATGTAAATATGTTTTCAACCAAGTCTCTTTCCAAACCATAATTCAAAAGGTGTTTTACCCATTACTCTACTAGGAACTCTATTATGCAAATAAACTGCTATAACTACTGCTTCAGCCCACAGAGAATTTGGTAATCCAGCTTGCATTAACATAGATCTAGACAGCTCCTGCAATGTATGGTTCAGTTTTTCAGAAAATCCATTTTGTTGTGGGGAGTGGGATTTGGTTACTTCATGTTCTATACCTTCCTGTTCCAAAATTCTCCTGAAATCTGCATTACAATATTCTCCACCACCATCAGTACATAATGCTAGGGGTGCTTTGCCAAATCTATTTTAATTGCAGCTACATAGCATTTGAACTTCTTAAAAGTCTCATCTTTACCTTTCAGTACATATACAAAACCGTATTTACTTTTAGATTCAGTGAAAGTAAGAAAATATCTATTTTGCCTGAGGATAATGGCATGGGATCCTCTTTCAGAAACTTTTTATCCTGTATATTATTTTGTCCTGT